GAGAGAGAGAGAGAGAGAGAGAGAGAGAGAGAGAGAGAGAGAGAGAGAGAGAAAGCCATCTTGTCTGCCCCTCTGCTGGGGGCTTGCTACTATTTTTTTTTTTGCGGAACTGGGGATTGAACTCAGGCCCTTGCGCTTGCCAGGGAAGCTCTTATTCCAATGAGCCATCTCTGCAGCCCCCATGGCTTTCTACTGTTAAGATAGTTTGGGGATTCTGTCTTCATGGCCTATAGCATAAATGTGCTGCTGCCTCTTGCCAAACCTCCCTGAATGTACCTGTCCATTTGTTCTATTTGTTTCTTTAGGATGATTGAGATAGCGAAAGCCATGAGGTTGAAGATCTCTAAAAGAAAGGTGTCACTGGCACCTGGCTGGGAAGAGGATCACAGGCTGGGCACTCTGTCTGTTCCACTGCCGCCAGCTCAGAACTCAAACCAGCAGTCAAAACGGAAGAAGATGTAACTAGATAAGTGCTTTCCAGGCAGGCATTTTGACCCCATCATAGCCACTGCTTGAAAAGAAAGTGAAAGGAGCCTCAGCAGGGGAGAAAGTAGTACCTCTAGAGATGGCCTGAACGTGCACCAGTCCACCTGGAAAGCCCACCAATGCTCAGACCAAAGCAAGACTACTTTCTTTAAAATATAGAACTTTATTTAGTTATTGGTTCACAGAAAAGTTTTTTCTTACAAAATAACAAAGGCAGCATTTTGTACAGCAACTCACATGGAGGCCACAAAACAGAAGTGTGCAAATGTCAATGCTGGGGATGGGAGGGACCAACACTTGTGTCTAAGGTTCTCAGGGAGAAGCCAGAGCTCCTCACTACTTTTTCCCTCCCTTACACCCACCCAGCGGAGCAGCACCTAGGACCTTACAAAACCAGCCTGGGAAGTTACCTGGCCAAATGTAGAACAGTGACCCCCCAACAGGCTGGTGAAGGTCCTGTGTGAAAGGCCAAGTGGGATGGAGACCATTCAGGCTGGACTGGCCTTGCATCCAGCCTCCTTTTCTCAAGCAGTAGGGCCCAGCCCACCTAGCTCTGCAACCCTGATACATTCACAGTACAGGTAGGTAAAGCCCTGTGGAAGCTGGCCTTTCTCTCCTGACAGGCCACTAACAGCCCCCTAGCTGTGGGCTGGGGCCTGGGGACAGCCAGTAGTGTGACCTTACCTTTAGAGTTCACAGGAAGTGGGTGGGACAAGGTACAGTTTCAAAACAAGGCAGAAAGTGCTCAGTGCCCTGAGGGAGCAGAGGAAGGGTAATTGAGGCCCATAGGGGGACAGCACTGTCATCTGGAGTGAGGAGAGAGCCGTGGAGAGATGGGAGTATATGAGCTAAACTTTGAAGAATGAGTGGGGCCAGCACATATAGTGGTGGAGAAAGGGAAAGCTTGAGCCAAGGCACAGTGGGGGACATAGGGTCAGTAAAGGCAGGAACCACCCATGAGAATATGGACACATCCAGTGCCCAGGCACCTCCATTTGGACAGGCTAGAGCTGGAGGGGTGCTGGTGTGGGTATGCTCACATAGGCTCTGGATCCTGCAGCAGGCATCAAGCTAATAGCTTCCTGAGCTTGGGAGCTCCTTGAGGACAGCGGAGCTTTACGCATCCCTGAATTACCCAGCCATGCATCTGCCTGATGCCTGAAGGAAGCCATCCGCCATATGGGCCTTGTGTTTATATCATGTCCCCTTGTCCTGCCTGGGATAGCCTTTCCCCTCCAAAGGACTGTCTTAGTATAGTAGAACAGTGTCCTTAAGAAAACCAACTCAACTGTGGTGCAGTCCCTGGAAGGATCAAGGGAGGGCCAGGGCCAATCACATAGGGGCCAATTCTGGGGCAGTATCTCTACCCTACCCCAATCATTTCCCTTCCTCAGAAGCAAATGTCTTTCTTGAGAAGAGCCAGGGTTTGGTATGTGTTAAATGAGATTCCCTGTAATTCTGAAAGAATCCTGACCCCAAGTTTTCATATATTGAGTATCCCCAACTCTTCATAAAATGTACCAATGTTAAGAGTGACTAGAAGCCCTCCAATTTCTGTTTGGAGGGCTTCTCCTTGAAAAAAAGTTTTCAATTTCCTGCTGAGGGTTGTGGAGCTAACAGGTTTTAGAGGTACCTTGTTCTGAGTCCCCAGGAAGCATGGGAGCTGTTTTTCCAAGAAGGAGAGACGAGGAGTCTTGTCAGGCACTATGTCCATCCTGAGGGCCTTTGCCCCTTAGCTCTTCTGAGGCAGGTCTGCGTCCTTACAGGATGGTGCAGAAGATGCTGTGGTTGCTGTGGTAACCACCTTCCACTCGAGCTGTGATCCTGGTTGCCATAGCTGTCACTTTCTGCCCACTGTGGGCTGCAGATGGGCCCCTGAGAGAGTTTTCAAGATGAGGCCGTGCTGGTGGGTTCACCAGACGCCATGTATCAGACCTAGAGATACAAGAGGAAAGTCTGAACTCTGGGAATCTATAGAGAATTTACTGAAAGCCCTGTACAATCTGATGTGTGGTTCCAGACCAGTGAATCTCAAGTGTTCAAATCTGGGTATAGATTTTGTTTTGTCTCCTGAGCATGACAGCCCAGAAAAATGAGGTGTGTGAAACTAAGGGGAAAGGTCCTTCATCCTAGTCCAGTCTGTCCTAATCTGCCTCCACTTCCGCATAGAGCCTCAAACAGTTTCCCTCCATGGACTTCAACTTCCCCATTTTTGTTTTTGTCTTGTGCAGGGGATGGAATCCAGGGCCTGGTGCATTCTAGGCCAGTATTGTACCACTGACTTCTATCCCTAGCCAACTGCCCCATGTTTAAGAATTTGAAAACAGTGACTTTTTTTACTTTTTACTTTCCTCTGTTTCGCTGTAGTATGACTGTTCATAGATTTATTCATAATCATCCAAAACTACAAACTGCCTAAACACCTTTCATCTGATGTAAACAAACTGCTATATACGTATATGGAAGTTACCCTGGAATAAAAAGGAATGAGTGACTTCATAAGCAATGCCATAGATAAATCTTGAATGCATTAGGCTAAGTGAAGAGACTCGAGGCACTGGAGTGCAGTGTCTACCACATGTGCCTATAAGACCAGCACTTTGAGAGGCTAAGGCAGGAGGACTAAATTTGAGCTCAGCCTGCCCAACTTAGCAATTTAGACCCTCTCAAATTTAAGACTGAAAATAGAGCTCATTGCAAAGATGGTGGATTCAATCCCAGTGCTGCAGAACAAAAACTTTTTTTACTGAGTGTGGCCATCATTAACTAAGAAATGGCAGTCCATCCAAAGTTTCTGACTGGATGTAGCATGACCATAGCTCTTGTTTCGAAAGGTTAGCCAGGAAGGTGTAATAGTACAGACAGGTGGGGTGGGTGAGGGGGTGACTTGGGCAGACCAGGCAAGAAGCTGCTGCAGTGGGAAAGGTGATAACTAAAGTGTAGGGGTGAAGTGCTGGGGATATAGCTCAGTGGCACAGGTGCCTGCTTGGCAAGTGCAAGGTCCCGCGTTCAATCCCCAGTACCACAAAAATACAAGGGTGACATCAGTAAGAGGACTGCTATTATTTTTCCAACAGTTTAGCAAAGCACTGACTATCAGAATGCTTCAACTGTCCCGATAACAGGTGCTGAGACCTGAGTTAGGGTGGTGGCAGTTACAGAACATTTTGGATATACAAGTAAGAGGGCCTGAGAACAGACTAAACTTTGGTGTTAGGGAGGAAGAGAAGGCAGAGGAAAGACGTGGGAGGCAGTTGTGATACCCTGAGGCAGAGTATTAGAAACAAGGTCAGCAGCAGTAAAAACTAACATGTTTGTAATGCCTTATATATTTAGCTAGACCACAGTCTTTATCTTACATTTGTGCCCCAAAATAGGTATGTGCTAGATTTTACTAAGGCTCGAAAGTTGCTAGGTAATTTGCCCAAGGTCACACAGCCAGTGACAAGTACAACTGAGAATTGATACCACTTTCCCTGGCCTCTCTGGAAGTCCTGAGCCAGGCCTGATAAACCTTAAGTATAGGCCCCCCTTCCCTGACCAGAGCTGAAAGCAGGCTAGACTCACTGGGCTGGGCCTGGCTGCTCTACAACCTCACTGCTAGTCTATACAACAGGTTCAGACAACTTCAGGTACTCACTTTTTCTTGAAGACCAGAAACTTGTTGTTCTGCATAATACAGTCTCTGTTGTTTGAGATCTGCTGAAAGATGGTCTTGCTGGTCTTGCCCTGGAAGATGATATTCTCCTGCACCAGGGCCTTTGCATGGCCCCGCACAGCAATGCCATAAGCCCGGAATGAGTGGATCCGGTTCTTTATCACCTGGGAGAAGCAACCAGAGCTTGTCATGTCTCAGGTACTCAGACTTGTGGGGGAGCCCAGAAAGGGAAACAGCAGTTATAACTCCAAGGGGGAAGATGATGCTCTAAATATCAGCACAGAGCCAGAGGAATGCAAAGGAAAAGTGCCTGGGTAAGCAGGAAAGGCTCACCAGAGGTGGTGACAAGCAAATTGTAGGAGGTTATCAGGTACACAGCAGGGGAGAAGTGTTCACTGAACAAAATGCTGCAAAGGCATGGCAGACAAAGGTCACTGACGACTTAACTGCTACAACATTGTACCCCTGTTCTTCCCATTTTCCCAGTGCTCAGATGCAAAGTCAGAGTCCTTTACTCCTCAAGGGCCTAACTCACGGACTCATATAGATCTAAGAAAAAAACCCACTAGAATCAATTCCACAACACCAAAACCCTAGCACCCAGCACAGTGCTTTCCATAAAAGATGCTCAGAGCTCATGATCCTGTTGGGGAGACAAATGGGTAAAGGAAAGATGGAAAGCACTATACAAAGTATTCTGGGAGTAGCACCCTTAAGTGCCAGAAGCACCACCAAAGTTCAGAAGAGGGCACCTCAAGCAGCCTGGAGGAATCAAAGTTCCTGAAGGTGACAGCTAAACTACAGGGATGAAGTCATAAAGGGGTAAGGGAGGTTCCGGATATACAAGGCATAGTGTGTGCAAAGGCCCTCAGCCAGGATTTCTCTGTAAGCACCTGCTGCCTAACAGGTCCTACGCAAGATCATTCTGTTGGGGGAAGTAAGCAAACAGCCTTGACCCTGACCTGGAGATTACAAGTTACCTCAGGAGACTCCCAATACTATGACTCTGGAAGTTATACCCTCACTCCTGGCTTCCTGGTAGTTAACTTTGGTTCATCCTCTATTCCCAGTCCCTTTATCTTCTGTGTGAAACCACCCTCCCAATCTTTCAGGCTTTTGGCAGGAAGGATGATAATCCTTGAAATCTGTAGTGCTTATGGTTCTGCTTCTTAGTACAGGATTGGGTCCTATGTCTGGGCATTGAGCACTGTGCTGGCAGTCGATGTCACACACATGCACACATACCTTAGTGTCAGACCTGGGCAGCAACTGCAGCCCACTGCCCCGATTGCCAATGATGTCATTTTCGATGACGACAGTGCTGTCACCCTTGGTAATGATGCCATGGCCTCTGTTGTCATAGATACCATTGCCCCGGAGCTCCACCTTACACTGGGCTTCAACCTTGACTCCACTCTGGCGGTTGCAGGAGATGCTGTTGTTGGTCATACGAGTGAGCTGGCTGCTCTGGGCTACAGTGATACCTCTGTCCCCATTGGCATGGATCACATTGGTGATGATGTGCAGGGCCTCACTGCTCTGGACATACAGTCCAGAGGCTACAGGCAGAGGAAGAGGGAGCAGGGTCAGCCCTAACACCACCAATCACCAATCAGGGAAAAGCCTTTCCCAGTTCTGCACCCCAGGAAAGAAGAGGGAGTAACACTCAGACCCAGCCTTGAGTCTGTATCTTCTAAACTAATGATAGACAACAAGAGCAAACCTCAGAACATAAACAAACAAACAAACTAACTAAAAAAACCTGTTTCCTGCTGCAATAACTCCTGAGGTAGCCGGGCACAAGCTCTGAAAAATTTCTTGGCTTTGATGGTCATTGGGCCCAAGCTTTCATCCTGGGCTTGAAAGCCTCCTACGACATAATCATACTGCTGTTTTCACCTCCTGTTATGGGGAGCTTATTCCTCAAGACTGACCCTGTCACCTCTAGACAGACTCTACTTGCTAGAAAGGTATTTTGTTTTGCTTTCCTTCCCATTCTGAGCTGGAATCTGCCCATTATTTTGGGAAATTTTCTTCATAAATTTATAATTTTTTAGTAAACTTACCAGGCTAAGTAGTATGTATATAAAAGGTGTTAAGACATTTTGGAAAGAAAAAATGGTGCTTGGAATTGTATTTGCTGAGAAGGCCCTGTGAACATGAACAAAGACAGACTCAGCAGGAGTAAAGCCTCTGACCTGCTAGAGAGAGAAAGCCTGGCAATGAGACTATGATGTGGTGTCTCCACCTGTTGTATCATCTTTCACAGGAACGAAGAGGACCAGGGGTGTGCTGGGGAGGTGGGATGTGGACAGTGACTGGGTTGATACAGAAGCAGTCTGGGCCATTAGCCTGCAAGCTTAAACCTCTTGGTGACATGTGTCTGTTCTTCCTGGTTTTGTTGAAAACAGCAAAAATAAGTATGTATGAATTTATGCAGCTTTGTCTGTCTACAGGAGAGCATGGTCGCATGGGGGGAACCCTGAATTAGGAGATGACAACTCATTTCCCATATTAGATGGACTGGAACCTGACCTATCTGCCCCATTACTCCCAGAGGAAAACACTTCTGCTTCTCAGGGCCTAGAATCTATTCTTTCCTCCATCAACACTCTGTAATTCTTACCCCGTAAAACTTACCAGTGGGGAATGGGAAGAGGGCAAAATTCAAAGAAAGAAAGGGTAGAGGGGTGTGTTGAGAGGTTAGGAATTTCAAATTGATCTGGGATGTATGGATGAGAGAAGGGGGATTTCAAGTCCAAGGGCTTTGGTATGAGGCAAATAGCAGAAAGAAGTAGCTATCAGGCTGGAAATCCAAACTAGGACAGTCTCTGAGAGCCCTTAAGAGAGTGGGGAGCTGTGGAAGGTCCTTCACCAAGGGCTAGGTGAGGCACACTTACCGCCATTGTGATTAATACTATTAGACTCTACAAGAGCTGTGGTGACAGGCCTGCGCAGGGGGTCATCCTCCTTCTCTAGTTCGGTCTCCCAGAGGATGGCATCCCCATCTTCACTGAAGTTCTCCTGGGCCCCATGGCCTCCAGGGAACTCACTGGCGCCATCCTTCTGGCTAAATACTGCCACTCCATACAGGCCATTGTAGCTCACATGGTTACTGGTGACATGGGGCAGACTGGACGACATCATCCACACACCACAGCCCTTGTTGGCTGGAACAGTAAAAAGAGTTGGTCACTGACACAACAGGTGAGGCATCCCCCAGTGTCTCGCCAAAACGGGAAGCAAAAGGAAATGGCCTGGGGCAAATAATTTCAAGGCTCTGGCTGTGTGCCTATCCTTACAAGAGGGACAGTAACTAAGTCAGGACACTCTCACAAGCTGGACTCATTCCCCAAGGTGTAAAAGCACCCTGAGAACTGCCAAGTCAACTTTCAGATCTGAACACACACAAGATGTAGTGACTACCATGGGGCACCAACTTCATCTATGCAGAGGAGGAAGCCTTAAGACTGAATTCCAGCTCTTACCACTTCCTAGCTTCACTAGGTTACAGAACTCTGTGCCTCAGTTTCTTCCTGTTATTATGGATCTGCCACTGAGTATGCAACCCAGGACCTTGCATAGGCTAGGTAAGCTTTTACCTCTGGGCCACATCATGAGCCCTTTTAAAATTTAATTTTATGTATTTAGTACAGGGTCTGTAGGGTCTCAATATGTAGATGGGACTCGTAGTTATTCTTGTTTTCAGCCTCTCAAGAGCTGGGATTACTGGCATGGGTCACCACGCCCAGCCTCAATCGCTGTCTCAGCACACCCCAGGGGCAGGGCCGGCATGACACGCTGAGGATCGAACCCTGGCTGCTGTGCCCTCCGTAAGCAGGCATTTTAGTCTGCTTGAGCTATCTGGCCAGCCCTTAAAATTTTATTTTGCAGTCAGGTGTGGTGGTGTATGCCTGTAATCCTGGCACTTTGCAAGACTGAAGCAGGGTGATTACAAGTTTGAGTCCAACCTGGACAGCTTAATGAGATCTTGCCTCAAAATATAAAATAAAAATAGGGCTGGAGATGTAGGCTAGTACAAAGCCTTGAATTCAATCTCCAGTACTTCCCAAAAGAAAAACTGAGACAGGGTCTTGCTAAGTTGCCTAGGCTGGCCTTGAACTTGCAACCTTCCTTTAGCCTTAACCCCCAAATATCTGGGATTACAGGTGTGTGCCACCCACTCAGTGGTTTCTTCACCTTTAGATTGGGGATAATTATGTACCTCACTAGAAGGCAGTCACGGAGTTCAATGTGATGATGCCCATGAACAGCCTAGTAGAGATATGGACCCAAATTAATATTATTATTATTGTTAGAGATATAGTCCAGAAATAGTAAGGGTTTTCTCAAAGTCCCAGAGTGAAACATTTTTTAATTCCTGTGATTACCTATCTTTTTTCTTCCTGTGATTACCTGTTTTTCCATTATATTTCTATTTCTCTGGGTCAAAAGATGTAATAAAAGATGTCAGACACTCATGCAGCAGAGCCCAAATGGCCTGCCCTTAGACATAACCCAACTCTTGCCTTTTGGTATTTTGGGAATAAAGCTCTGCTTTACTGACCCCAATGACAATAAATTAGCTTACTAAGTGATTTAAAGGAGAAGCTCTTCATTCTGAGAGGGCCTCACACAATTCCCATAACTCAGATGAGGTCTTCAAGTCCCAGGGAAGCCAGTGACTGTCTCAGGACCCACCAGCTGAAGATGGAACCTGAGTTTCCTGCCTCCCAGGCAGGAGTGCAACCCAGCCTTGCCCCTGGGGACATGGTCCTCACCATAGATGGTATTTCCTTCTATTAGTCCTTTGCCTTCATCTCCCACAACCACACCATCTGAGTAGCCAAAGCAGATAAGATTGCTCCTGAGAACAGGAATCCCTCCACGGCGGATGTCCACGCCTCCCCACTGATTTTCACGGATGACATTTTCTATGAAGAGAAAATGAAATGATGAAAGTCAACACCCAACAGTCACCTCCAATGCTGGCAGTGGGGACTTGGTCAGCTAAGAGAAAGGATACCCCAACCAGGTCCTTCAGCCTTTGCCCTGTTGACAGTCAGCATTTTGAAGCTTGTCTACTAGTTGATGTTTCCGGACTCCTCCACTTTCCCTGAGGGCAGGGTTTGTCTGTCTTGTGCATGCCTACATCCCCATCCCCCCTATTCCTAAGGGTCTTTGGGCTGATGAATGAGGAATGAGAACAAACTAGCTCTAGAGCCGCAGGGGTAGAGTCCAGCCATTCCTCCAAGCCTGAGAAGGCTGCCTGTCCTCAGCCTCAGCTATGTACTCTGACCAAACACTTTTCTCTCCTCTTTTTGGAAGCCATCTCTTCTCAAGGATGGGGTTAAGAGTCACAGCTCAGAACAGCGATCCTAGCCAGTGATGGCGAATGTTTAGAGACAGTGCTCAAACTGCAACCCAAAGCCCACTTGGTCATTGCAAAGTGCCAACACTGCAATTAATCCTGAATACTGAGGTTCAGGGAAAAAACAAAACAGACATTAACATTTTTTGTCTTAAAAGCAACATGCATGCCATAGGTGTTCCACCACTGTGAGATCCTGCTGTCCCCTGCACTGGCCAGGTAGACAGTGGGTCTCCTGAAATCACTAACCTGGCCCTCTGTGACTGGCTCCTTCCTGCCTGTGACCCAGCCCCATTCTCCTCATTCATTACTCTGGGCCCTGAAGCAGTCTCAGTGCTCAGGCATGCTAGGTCTGTTCCAGCATGGGAGACTTTTCCTAGGGTGCTTCCCATCTTCCAGATTCTGTCTTGTATGTTATTCTCTCTGTAAGACCTGCCCTGACCACATGATCTTGACCAAACAGGCCCTCTCTATGTAGATGACCTGTAGAGCCCTTTTCACCCTCAGTATGGCATTCTTTTTGCTTGTTTATATGGGCTTTTACTTATTTACTTCTTTTCCTCTAAACTATGAGTCCATTTTGTTACTGCTGTATCCCCAGCTCCTAGAATGTAGCCTGCATACAGTGGTGCCCAGTAAGTGTCTGATGAGTAAAGCTGCAGTCAGGGGCTTCCCTGGGCCAAGGGAAGCCGCACTGCGCTCTGTGCTGAGGTTCCACTGATACATCAGGCAGATTCAATCCTTGTCTTGTGGAATGTACTGCCTCACAAGGGAGATGGGATAAAACAATGCACCAAGAAAATAAAATGTCCTACAAAGGAAGCATTATAGACACAGTGAGTATATCTATGTACAAAGGGAGGTCAGAGAAGGCTTCTCTGAGGAGGAGACACTTGAGAAAAAAACCTACAGCATACACAGGAGTTGGCTGGATAAAGATTACCAGGGAGACAGCCACACAAAAGCCTACAGGAGGACTCAGATAGTTCCTCTGGTGTCTATGCTTCTGTAGGCATTGTGACCTGCCAGTGAGCCACTGTCAGCCCTGGGTGTGGTAGAGAACAGATACGTAGATCACAGCATGCTATGCCTGCATGAGAATTGTTGCCAGCATGGAGCTGGTGACCTTGGGTGCCAGTTCACTGGTCTGAAAGGGAGGTCTGCAGCAGGTGAGGGACTTGTGTAAGGACCTGAGGCTGGCAAGATTAACACCAGAGGACAGTTCTGTCCATAGCTCTGGGCAGTGCCCAATACATACCTGTGATGAGCCCCTTGCCATTCTCATTCACAGCAATGCCAGCTGCACGTCCCTTGAAAATGTGGTTCCCACTAAAATGGAAAAGGAGAGGTAAGACTAGGATCCAATGTCTCATTTCAAGGTTACCGCCTTCTGCTGGCTTCTGGTGCTCAAGTTGACAGGGTCTAAATTATTTCCTGAAGTCCTGCAAGCCAGGCCCTTGGACACTGTTGGTTGTCACTGGGACTAAAACCACAAATAAGCAATGTAAGCACAATAATATCCAATTGATTGTGACTTTGTTTTGTTGTCATCTATATATAAGTACTATTTTAAAGAGATGTCACCATACTGCATGTATTGGTGACATGAAGAATTGAAGGAGGCTGTGCTAAGCTTGCTTAGGAGTGATTGTAAGTTATATAACTCTTGCAGCAAAAGAATACGTGGTGGCTTAACTCAGCCAAGTCATGTCTTAAACTTTCTCCCAGACCCCTACTTAATGTCACAAACACAGGGAACAAAGTACAAACCCTTCGCTTAAGGTAATTATGTTTTACAGACCCACAACACTGATCTCATTGGGGTATTTTCTTTACTCAAAACTCTAATGTTTCCCTGGCACTTCCAAGGTACTCTATGATCAGAAGTTACTCTAGTAAGCTGTCTTGAACAGTGAGAAAGTGTTTACCTACTAGTAATGGATAAAAATTATGGAATATCACAAAGAATGTTCTGAAATTTTCCAAAGTAATATAAAAGCCATGCAGCCCATACATCAACCTAGAACTGTACATATGGAATAATGCAGGGAGAAAATTCAGGATATATTTACTTGCAATTCAATACAGATCCTCTTTCTCCCCCTTCTCATTACCCTCCCTCTTCCTTTCCCTTCACCCTTCCCTTTTTATTTTCTCTCTCCTTCTCTCCTTCCTTTTCTCTTTCTTCTCTCCTTCCTTCCTTCCTTCCTTCCTGCCTTCTTCCATGCTGGAGATCAACTCAGAACCTTGTGCTTGCCAGACAGGCATGTATGCCACTGAGCTACATCCCTGGCCCTGCCAGCTATTTTTCCAAAGTACAGACATAAATATGGGAATCTTCTGTTCAAAAATCTTTAAACATTATCATGACAAAGCCAATTCTGTCTTCCTCAGCATGGCTGACAAAGGCCTTCCTCATCCAGCCCACTCCATTTTTACCATTTCTTTCCACTGTGTCGCATGGCAGACAGGTGAACACACAGGTATAAAAGGTCATACTTTTATACCTGTCCAAGGGTTCAAGGTTTTCTTGAATAGTCCCAATTAAAAATATTTCCTTTTGGGCCAGGGAGATGGCTCAGTAGAATAAGCACCTGCCTGGGCAAGCACAGGGTCCTGTGTTCAATCCCTGGTACAAAAGAAAAAAAAAAATCATTTTTTTCCCTCAAGCTACAGAGGACCATGCACTCACTCCAGATCTGTTGTGCTCTATTGCTTTTGCTCAGGCCATTCCCTTTACTAGGAAGGTTGTCCTTAGCTCCACCATGGTCCAACTCCAATGCCACCTCCTCTGTGAGGGCTTCCCACATTCTCCCAGTCAAAATGATTCCCTCTTTCTCTTGATACCACTTTAATGGCATCTATTGCAGTCTGTTCCTTACAGTACCTGGGGTAGAAGAAACAGGGTACTGCCACTGTCCTTCCCACTAATGGATCACTTCCTTCAGTGCTGGAGATCAACTCAGGATCAAAATAACAGCATATTTTGGCACTGAGGCCAAATTTAGCCCCAGGATCTTAACATAGTATCCCAAGTACCCACTGTGGACCAGATTGGATTTGGCATGAGTGGAAGTCTATACCACCTACATCTTATAGTATCTCTGTATCTATATTGCCCAGAGGTTGCCTCCTTGTTTACCTTTGTTACTCCTTATAAGAAGTGTTCAGTAATATCTGCTGAATCAAATGTCATACAGAGCCAAATGCCCAAACACAATTGTGTTGAGATTGCGGGGAAAAGATTACTGGGGTAAGCTTATGGGTGAAGTTGTGAAGGACCACCTGAGTGACTCTCCCTGGCGAAACAATTGTCTCTATTTTGGTTGAACCTGACTATTTCCATGTATTGATGTGTGCAGAGTTGGCTAGGACTTTTCCCTTCCATTGGCTTTAAGTAATGCAAATCAGTCCATCTGAGGTACTGATGTGTAATCTTTGAAGCAAAGACAACACGGCAGTGTTTTCCTGGCCTACTTCCTCCCTGTAGCTCCCAAATAAAATATGCATGAGCTGAGATGGGATGGAGAGCCCTGTTTCACACTGTTGGCTTGGATTGAGCCTCGAGACAAGAGGCTATGACTTCCCAGGGCACAGAAGATTACTCATCAGAGCTGACACACTGACCCCAAAACATTAGACACTACCTCAACTGTGTCATGCAGATCACTCCTTCTGCATATCCTCCTCTCTGCACATTGTAGAGGTGACTTTAGCCCTCCTCCAAGCCCAGTTCATGGTACTCACCTACTTCTAACATTCTCACAGTTACTCATCCTTAAGCCACTCTTTTCTTCATGGATTAATAAAACTTAGTTTTGGCCCTGGGTCAAGGCCTTTGCTCCAGTTAGCCAATAACTGTAGCTAGACTTAGTGACTCCTTGACTCCCCATAACTACAATATACTTTAGTGTCTTTATTCTTGCCAAAGATTGCACAGGAAGTGGTATATTGGAATTAACTCACTAGAATTCCAATAACTTCTCCATGGGATTACACATATAAACGTTCTGGGCTGCAGTGAGGACCAAAAAGGATCCTATATGAAGTCTCTTCTTTGCTTCCATCTGTACAGTTGTAGTACACAAAAATGTCTTCAAATGAAGGAAAAGGATTAGGACAACAGTTGAGAGAACACAGAATGAGAACAAGGTAGCAAGGAGCAGCCAGATGGTTTGGGTGCAGTAGTGCATACCTCACTATTGGATTTCCATGGTACAGGATATAAATGCCAGCTTCCTTATTTGAAAAGATTTGGTTGTTCCTGATGACACCTTTCCCATTGCCAAGGACAACAATGCCAGAGCGAAGGCCATGGTGGATCTGGTTACACTGCAAATGAAAACAAGACACCACAGAAAGCGGATCAGGTGTGCCAGCAAGAAGTACAGTGCTCAATCTCTGCCCACACAAATGCACCAGAAAGACAAGCAGGAGAAAAGAACATCACTGGAAGATGCCCAGCACATGACAGAGACCAGACCAACTGCTGTCCTGCCTTTCTACATCAGGGCACATGCAAAAATAGTAAGGGAAGGTAAAAGATAAGAGTCTTCCCTACAGTCTCTTGGGATGTAGTTGCACTGCACTCACTATTGAAGGTTCTTGTGCTTCATCTATAAGGCAACTACAGAAAGCATCTGAGCCTCTTCAGAGCCCCCCAAACACAGAACCATCCAGCAACGGCCTACTTCCCAGAGCCCAAGGTGCCCATATCTCAGGGAAGGGCGGAAGCCCAGTTCAATAGAACACTAGCCAAGAGAAGTCCCATAGAAGCCACAAGAATCATCTGGCTTCTGGTCCTTACTTCTCATTCAGGGGACGGTCTGGAAGGATGCACATATTGGGGGGAAGGTCACAGGAGGTGTCCAAACTGCAGGATCCTTACAACACTAGTGTCTGGTTCCCCTTTGTACATGTGGGGAAACAGGCCCAAGACTATATAGTATGTTCTTGATTGGGCCATATTTAAAACCTAGTTTTGTTGCCTTTCAGTCCAGTTCATTATTTTTTGCACAGTGACTTCATTTACAATAAATTATAACAGCATTATATCACTTATGAAATCTAATTCCATACTTAAAACAGAAAGTTACTGTATCTCTTGTAAAATACTATCATGAACACAAAGATTTCATTTGCTCTATTTTAAGTTCTCTTTACTCTTAGCCACCTTTCACTAATTCTGAAGAGTTTGGCAGACTTACCAGAGCAACCACTACCTGAGAGAGGTCCCTCAGAAAGATGAAAAGCTCCACAAGAATATTTCCATCCCTGTCCTCTTTCACAAAGCCATGACTGAAACATACCATTCCCTTTCCCTCTGCTTTCCTTCTATCCACAGGTGCACAAAGTCATCTCTGGCCACAGAAGCAGTAACTTCCTAAGTCAAGGCAGTGCAGTTACCTGCTGCATGGAGAAGCACAGGGAGCACACTGGCTAGATGTGTTTCTTAAACTATAGGTGGGGAGATATCCCACAGTTCTGCACAGTGCTGGTCCTTCTGCTACAGCAACTACTGAAGAACAACAGCCATGCTCTGTGCTATTCCATGGCTGTGGGCCTCAACAAGGGTTACAAGGTGACAAAGAATGTAAGCAAACTGAGACATAGCCCCCATCGTGGACACCTCACTAAACACACTAAGTTTGTGTGGGGAATGTGTGTGATGTCGTGTGCAAGGTCTGCAAAGACAAACATGCCCTTAATTTCATTAAGAAAAGGATGGGACATACATCTGCATCAAGAGGAAGCTAAGGAGGAGCTGAGCAAAGTGCTGGTCACTATGAGGAAGGCCATTGCCAAGAACTGAGGCCCTCTGTGGAATAAAGTTTTGCAGAAAGTTTAAAGAAAAGAAAAATAAACTATAGGGATTTTACTTTGTCTGCATTTTCATGGGCAGTGTTTATATTATGGGCTAAGAACATTGACCCTGAGTCACACTGCCCGGACTCAAGTCCAAGCTCTGCCACTGGCTATATTAATATGGGCAAGATCTTTTGCTTCTTTGCATCCAATGTCTTCATCTGTAAAATAGGGATAAGAATAATTCTACTTCACAGAGGCATGAGGATTAAAGGATAATTACACAAATACCTACAAAGTGCTTAGAAAAGTGTAAGGTACATAATAAACATTATACTCAGGGGTGGGTATTATTTTTCGAAGACCGTAATCTCCCAGTGTCTAGAAACTTCTTCTCAGGAAAAGCCAGAATGGAAAAGAGGCTGATCTCTTGTGTTACTGATCATATATGCTAAAATTTTAAGTGGTTATGCTGATATAAAATGATACACTCCCACAATATCCATGAAATACATAATCTTCAGAACTACCTTACATGTCCTCTGTATAGATGAGGCTAAACTAACTAAATAAGTTATTTAAGATTTAAGTGTCTTCTAGAGAAGACATGGACAGATGTATTTTTATCAAACCTAAAGTGAACCACAGCATATGAGAGCCCAGGGGGGCTGTTTTCTCTGTCTATCTAATCCTCTCTCTCATTGATGGGGAGACTGAAGAAAGTGACTTGTTCAAAGTCACTATTAATACATGAAGAAAAAAGAGGGACAGTTACAAGGACCACAGAGAAGAGTAAAGCTACTTACAAACATGCAGCATATAAATTTAACATGGATACATTTAAATATTTTCAGAAAATTATTCTGAAAACCCAAGCCACCCTGAATGGGAAAGGAACACAGAAAAAAGTACCAGAATGAGTGGGTTGGACTTCTTCCGGATGTCTACACCAGCCTCTGCATTGTGGTAGATATTGTTGCCGGCAATCAAGCCTCCACCCTCCAAGCGAAGAAAGATGCCTGATGCACGGCAGCGGTAGATGTCATTCCTAAGCATGACAATCTAAGCAGAAGAGAGAAAGCCTTTATTTTCCTGTCACAAAGATTTTGTAAAAATATATAATAAGCATCCCACTTAAGGGTGTAAAAACCACTGGACATGTACCTGTCTTTTCCTTCCCAACTGGTCCCTGCAGTTCACCAGTAGTTGAGGGGAACACCTCACTGTGCAACCCACCATCCTACTATGTGCTCCTGGGGGTTGGCATTACCCTGCAGCTCTTTACCAACAAGCGTCATATAGCTTGTCCCTGGCCTCAAGCCCCTACTGGGGGATGAGATGGAAAGGATGCCTACAAGAGAGATGATTCAGTAGTCTTCAAACTTCATATACTGAGGTTGCAGCAGTAGCGCACATCTCTCCCCAAAGCTCCAGGGCCTGACCACATGGCACTGCTGTCTCAAAGGCTCCAAACTCAATGTGGCCCAGAAATGAGCTTGTCTTTCTCTCCACACCCATCCTTTTCCATGTTTTCACTACTCATGCCAGGAATCTAGGCCATATGCTCTCAGCTATTCCCTCCTCAGGCTTCTTCTCCATCTCTGGACCACAACCTTATTCCCTTCATGTCACCTTCTACGAGGCTCAAGAATGAGCTTTCACAAGGTAGATCCATCTGCAGTTCTCCATGGCTTAAAATTTCTCAACAGTTCTCAACAATCCTCAAGGTGAACTCTGATTTCAATCTTGCTGCACTATCTCTGGGCTTTGATCTGACTTCTGTTGCCTGGTTCCCTTCGTCCACTCTCTTACCACCCTCCCTTCTGCTCTCTGGTTGCTGAGTGACTTCTAACTCCCTGCAAGTGTGTGTCCTTTCTTCCTTCTGGGCTTTCTCATAGGCTTCCTGTGCAGTGTATCTACAACTTGCCAGTTCTTACTCTTGCATGGTTCATACCAGGTACCATCCTGCTAGGAAATTCTTTCTGGTTCCTTGAGGCTGAGCAAGTTATTCCCTTTCTTGCCTGCTGTGCCACCCATGGCACCTTTATCACAGATCCTCCTAGACTAGTATAATTTAAAAAAAAATTACTGAGTGCTTGCTATATACCAAGCACAATGCTAAGCACTTTACATATGTGAACTTTGATAATTATCCTCACTGTACCGCAGAGATAGGTAATATTGTTAGTCTAAGGAACTCTCGTGACAGATCCAGAATTTTAGTCAAAAGTCATATTCTTAGTAACTATGTAAGGAGGAATATTCTCAAAGACTCAAACCATATCCTTTTATCATGGTACCCATGAGAACAAAGCTATTATCCTTTCCTTTTTATTTGACCATTTTCTGTTTATAGTAAAACCTAAAATTGTGCTTTCAGAGTAAGACACCTGAAATTCTCTTTAGAAGCTGGGTAACAAACAAAATGCAACTGCTATTTGGGATTCTAGAGTCTGTGGGACCCATGTGTGACAACTGTATAATGCCCCTTAATTTATACTGAATACTTTTGCCAATACTGTGGCACTGGCCCCCTCAAGCCCCAGTGGGAGAAGCCAGGCAGTAACAATCACTCCCAATGTACAGAGCCAAAGAAAGGCTCACAGTGCATTGAGAGAGCTGAGACTCAAGCCTAGGGCCTGAGCTATGCTGTCTTCTGCAAGGACTGTCTTTCCAGAAGTCAGTCTTGATGCATTTACTAGATTTACAGATTGTCCCGTAGTACCCAAAATGCCTGCGCAAGCAAGGTGCTGATGCATCAATGGCTGGGGGTTGCTTTTAGCAGAAGTTCCCAGTTCCTCAGTGGGGCTTTCCAGACCCTGGGCTTTGCCTGTCTGCCCCTGCTGCACAGGGGAAGTCAGCCCCCAGCACACGATATTCCTGCTGTTGGAACATCCCATGCTGTACCCCATTTTTATCATATACTATTTTCTCTGGAATCTTCACTCACTAACTCAGCACTGATATCCTGTGTTCCCAGAAGCCTTCTCAACCACCCCACTGAAGTTTACCTGAAGGCAGTGATTATGTCTGCCCGAATTGTCTGTTATCCATGCTAAAAAGGTCTTGTTTCTTTTATAAGGACCTGGGTGACATGTTTAAATGGCAGCATAACATAGTGAAGCAGAAGATCTGCTTTCTAATCTCAAGTCTTTATCATACTTGCTGTGTGACTCTGAGTTAAGGCACCTTCCCTCTCTGGGCCTCGGTTTCCTTTTCTGTGAAATAAAAGAGTTACTGCCCTGTCCAAGTCAGATAATGGACATGAGGTCCTGTGTGTTAATGCACTTTAAAAAAATTATTTGAAATGCAAATAACCCCATTCCACCTTCTACATATAGCCATAGGAACCCTCTCAGCAATTAAGTCATGCTCCTGGTAATCCAGTAAGGGCTCAGTCTAGTCACCCCTCAGGACAGCACCTTGCTATTATGTATGCACCGCACAGCGTAAGTCAAGTTCCGGAAGATGTTTCCTTCCATCTTGGCTCGCCCATAAGAACAGACAAAGACACCTCCTTTCCCGTCCCGGAAGAGGCACTTGCGGATCAGGCAGCCCTGCACAGAGCTGGCCAGTGCCATGGCCTCCTTGTCCTTCTGCAGCTCCTGCTGCAGTGAGTTTAGCACCAGGCAGCTGGGCAGCTGAATGGACGCTCCAGGCAATGGTGGGCCCAGAAAGGAGCCCCCTAGGACAGGGTGTGGACCCTGCACTTGGTAGGACAATCTGTATGTGAGCTGGTCCTCATCTTCATCCTCTCCACTGGGGCTTAGGCCTCCATCGCTGCTGTCTGGGGTCTGGGCCACCCTTTCCCCATCGCTGCCCACCTCTGCCTCCTGTGAACCAGCTTTGGAGGCTGGCTTTGGGGAGCTAGAGGCAGGGATGGTAGGACTCTGGCTGCCTTCAATAACAATGTCACAGGTCTTGGGGCTCCAGGCCTGATCCCGGCTCTCTAAGTCCAGGGACATTAAAAAGTCAGAGTCCTCTGTAGGGAGCAAACTGGGAGATGACCTGATAAGACCCAGTAGGTACTTATAGGCCCAGTTCTTATCTGCTGATGGGTGACCTTCCACAGTCACAGAGTTGTTCTCACTCCCCACAAATTCACAGTTTTCCAGGACACACAGGGGCACATTGTGCAGAAAAACATGGGTGTTTTTGAAGGTACAAAACTTCACTTGACAGGTGCCTGGGCCATGGACCTGGATGTGCCCATTCTCAAAGTTGCAGTTGTCAAACTGGACATGACCTGATGTGGTCTGGAAAATGAGAAAGAAAAAAATGGCTGTAAGAGGGGTAAGCTGTGTTTTGTTGATCAGCAATTACGCTCTTTTTTTTTGGGGGGGGGCGTTTACAGGCAATCAAACTCAGGACCTTGTGCTTTCCAGGCAAGTGCTGTGCTACTGAGCTATCTCCCCTATCCTGTGTTGTTCTTTAAGGAGGGCACAGCAGGGAAAGGCCATTTGATCACCTCCTTTTCCCCTCCAGGGTTTGGGAGCTGGGAACTGCTCAGCATCAGGGACAATTGGGAGTTGCCTGCCCACCTCTGTTTCTAATCTGAAACAAGAGGCACAAAGATGAATGGAAGAAAAATTCACATTCTCAGGTCTTAAGTAAATTCCTCTAATGCTCATGAACTGCTTAATGAGAATCCTCCCACACATTCACACCTCTTTGGTGAAAACAGGACAGAAGGTGGACAGAAATGGATCTGACCCATATTAATGCAGAGGTGAAGGAGGAGAGAATCTTTCAGGAAGGGGTCTGAAATGGTCAGAAGAGTTTTGAATTTTTACAAATTGGGATCTAAGTCCAACCTTACCAAGCTCCAAAAGGTGGGGGAATCCCCACTCAGTGACTGGGTTGTATGAAGAGTGTCAAATCAGTGCACAAGTGTCTCCACATCTCCCCTTTTCAAAATGCTTTGCCTTCATTTATACCTTCTCTTGGGCCCACAGGAGTATGCTCTTTACCTGAGTCTGCTACCTTGTGACTCAAATCAGGACAGGGCCATGCAGAACCCTGCAGACTGGCATAGGAGAAAGCAGCCAGGAAGTGCTAAGCCCTGCCTGAGCTGGTTTAGGCAGTGGGGAAGGCACAGAAACAGGTCTTAAAAGAGCCATATGCAGTTACTTGTGTGTGTGTGTGTGTGTGTGTGTGTGTGTGTGTGTGCGCGCGCGCGTGCATGCATGTGTACATGTTGTAGCACAGGAAAAGATAGCTGGTTGCACCTCTGAAGACAAGGAATAAAGGATGCTTTCATAGTCCAGGAAGAGGGGGGGTTCACCAGCTCCCAGCTCTGCTTCTTTCAAGAGTACACACCAGTGTTCACCTCTTTGAACCTGTTTCCTTGTCTGTACCATGGAGCTCACTAGTTAATTAAGCACAAAGTGCAGTGCCAGGTATAGAGCTGAAACCCAGCACAACTTAGCTACTGTCATCTGAGGTCACAGACACAAGGAATGAAAGCTGGGGTGGTTATGGGGAAATGGTAAACCTACAAGATGATGCATCTGGGTCCCTTGTTTTTCTAGTGATGGGGCAATGTAATTCTTATTAAATAGGTATATAATCCAAGTATTGTGGTCAGTTTCTAGGCAAGGTATATGTTACAGACTATTTGGCCAGGAACTACCAACGCCTTCATATATGCTTTCTGCTTTGTATTCTCTTAATTTTTTTCAATAACTAATGGGGATTAAACCCAGGGCTTTTCCATCAAACTATATCTCCAGCCCTTTTTATTTATCCATTTTTATTCTGAGATAGTGTCTTCCTAAGTTACTAAATTACCCAGGCTGGGTTCAGAATTGCTATTTTCCTACCTCAATTTCCCAGAGTGCTAGGATTACAAGCATGTACCACCACACTCAGCTGCTCTGTGTTCATTGGAAGAACATGCTGAACTAATAGTCCCTCATCCTTTCCCCAGGTATCCTTAAGAAGTACATGACCCTGATAAAAGCCTGACTGACCTCCCCTGCCCCTGCAAACGGTGGAATTCCTCTGCTAAAGGTCATTGCTTCTGCAGGGCCTCTTCTCCACTGGCATCTTCTGGCATGCCGCTGCAAGCAGCTAATGTTCTTCCTATCAACACTTTGCATGTGTCCAGAACCCCACTTTTCAGCTAGCTGCTACACCTGTGTCTCCAGCTCCACTATAGAAATAGAGACTATGTGGGGAGAGGTACAAGTAATCTTTGCGGCAAGGTCATGCCTCTATTTTCTGATATGGTTTTGACAACAATAAAGTGGAAGTCTGAACTACACAGATCCTTGTGCCTATTTCTCAACTGGTTCAGAGAGGAGTATGTATATAACTACTAACCCTCAATTTCAACAAAAATGGGAAATCTGCTGAGAAGAGGCCAAGGCCCAGGGATCAGGCTTGCACAGCATCAGTTTGATGTGGACACCCACCTTGTACATGATGGGTGAGAACCAGGCTGGCATAAAGATGAGGTTGCACAGGCGTGTGGTTGAGCAATGCTGATCAATGCTGGCCAGCAGGACCACCTCGCCCAACTTCCCATGGCCTACAATCTCCACAGGCACTTTTAGGATGATTTCACCTTGCTCTTCATAAACACCTGGGAATAGCACAATTCGGTCATACAGGCTGGCCATGGCCAAGGCACTACCTAGGCTGTCAAACTCATGGCCTGGCCCAACACTTAGGGTACGTCGTTCCTTCTTTCTGCGAAATAGAGAAAAGCAGACGGAAGACTCCAAGTCCAGGGCGTTTTTGGTCCATGTCTTTGAGGCAAGGTAATGCTGCTTAAAGGCCTCTCTCCAAGACTCAGGCTCCACATCAGGCTGGTTGGGCCAGTTGGGGTGGCGGCACTCAGTGCAGCCCAGGCATAGCTGCCGCCAGCGAGTACTGTCAAGACTGAGGATCAGCTCGTACCAGGCCCTGCATACCAGGCTGCAGCGGCCCAGGTCAGGAAGGTGCAGGTAGGCTAAGATCATGCGCCACAGCTCCAAGGGGAGGCCACCAGCCTCCATGGTCACCTGGGAGAAAGACACAAAGAAGGATTTTAGCTAGGTATGGTGGTGCATGTTTTGTAATCTCAGCACCTGAGAGGCTGATATGAAAAGATCTTCATGAGTTTGAGGCCAGTCTGGGCTACAGAGTGAGTTCAAGGTTGGTCTGCACTACAAAGTGAGTCCCTGTCTTTTTTTTTTTTTTTTGGCGGAACCAGAGATTGAACTCAAGCCCTTGCGCTTGCCAGGTAAGTGCTTATTTTACTGAGCTATTTCCCCGGCCCCTAGTCCCTGTCTTAAAAGACAAAAACCCAAAAATAACAATAAAAAAAGGATTTTGTTTATCCTGTTTTTTTATTCCCCTGGTTCAGTACTAGGAAATGGACTTAGGGCCTCACATATGTTAGGCAATATTGTCATTAATCAACATATGCAAGCATTTAAAAAATTTCTTTTGAGATACAGTCTCACTAAGCTGCCCAGGCAAGTCTTGAACCTGCCATCTCCCCCACATTAGCCATCCAAGTAGCTGGGATTACAGGTGTTCTATAGCACCCAGTATCTCTCCCTTTCTTAAAATACCCCCTAATGATGAGTACATGAAGAGGGTCCAGCCAATAAGAGGACTCTATCCTCTAGAGATCAAGTATGGTGGTGGATATTTGTGAGCCCACACTCTAGGGGTAGAGATATGAGGATTGGGAGTGTGAGGCCAGGCTGCATTACACAGCAAGACCTTGAGACTGACAATCAAACAAACAAACAAAGTAACTCTGGGAGGCTGAGGCAGGAGAATGACAAATTTGAGCCCAGCCTGAGCAATCGGCAACTCAGCAAGATAAGGCCTTATCCTACAATAAAAAATTAAAAAGCACTGGGGCTCAGTGTGAAGTCCTGGACTCAGCCTGAGTACCACAAAATACAAAACAACAATAACAAAAGAGAACTCCGTTTGTTCTCTAGGAGGGATTTTTTTTCTTTCTACCTGGCACTGGCAGGGAAGATTCTCTTTTTTGTTTGGTACTCTAATGATCAGACCTCCAGAATTCTGGCAGTCAGGTTTCCAACTTTGTGGAGAATATCTTGTGATATGAAAGCCAGGTAGGAACATATAGAGATGAAAGATAAAAAATGAAAGTGAGGAAGAAAAAGAAAAGCATTTGTATGTATTCTGGAAGTACTGAGTCCAGATTCTCGAAAGTGCCCTGAACTCTATACTTCATCCCTCAGCTTCTTGGGGTACTGCAGTGGCCTTGTGAGAAATTCTCTTTGTGTTAAAGCTAGTTTGCTTTGGATTTCTGTGACTTGTACCTGAAAGTTTGGATTCACAGAGAGAGAACCCACTTCTGGCTGTAATGGTACTACAGTCTGGATCCCTAGACTTCCAGAGAAAAGACTGTTTCTTCATTCCAACAGGAATGAGAACTGAGTGTTTGTCTGTCTGTCCTCCTTCTCTGATCAAGTCATTGTTACTGTTTCCCTGTGGGGGCAGCTCTAGGAAAGAATGCATGGGTTTTGATCCTGGTTTAGCTACTGGATTGATGTGATCCAAATGAACTAAAGATCTTTTAGGGTGACTGGTCAATCATTTGCCTCTTTGCTTTCTCTAAAAATATTCTTCCCCTTTAGTAATAATTTATACCACATGGTCACAGAGGTAGGGTACCCCAAAGATGTATGTGTAGAAAGACGGTATCCCAACCCCTTGGCAGCAACAGACAGAATGGCTCTTTCCTAAGCTATAAACTCAGATATAGTTGTGGGTGATCGACTTCCATTTAGAGAATAAGGCTGAAGTTGATCTATACTGCCCTGCCAGAGAAGCATCAATTAGAGACATGGAAAAAAGAGTAAGGGGAAGAAAGAAGGTCATCTCCATTTCTTGGTAGGTCATAGCACCAGCATACTCTCAGATATCTCTCTGCTTTTTATAATGGCTTCTCCTTTTGGTAAAGCTGGCCTCACTGAATTTCTGTCCTTTATGCATCATTAAAACTTCCTCATTTATGAGTGTCACTTTCCCAATATAAAAAACAAAGGGTGGAGTTGGATGACCTGTAAGTCTGAAACTAGTCTTGAGACAAATGAATTAGAAAAAGGCTAAACTCCATAATTGACTGTTCAAATGGCTAAATTCTCTAGGGCCTTGGTTTTCCTTTCAGTTTTAAGAGAATAATGACCATATTTGTCAGTTATGTAGGCCAATAAAGGCTAGGGACATAAATGCATGCTTACATCTAGAAGAAATACTCATTGTACTCAAGACTTATGTTATGATTTAGATTTGGAATGTCCCCCAAAGTCTCAAATGTGTTCAGAGGTGGGGCTTTGGAAAGTAGTAAGATCATGGAGGTGCTATACTCATCAAGGAATTGACTCATTGATGAGCTAATAGCTACATGTGCTACTAGGAGGTAGGGTCTGGTTGGAACAGGAATGCCACTGGGGTGCAGTGCCTTTGGAGTGTACAGCTGCCTCTGTAGTTCCTTCTTTGGAGTTCTTCCTGGGTGCTATGTGGTAAGCAGTCTTCGTCTGACATGTGTTCCACCACGGTGTTTCTGCTTTAGAGCTAGCATACAATGGACTAAATCTCCTTATGTATGAGCTCAATAAGGCTTCCCTCTTTTAAACTGTAGGCATCACATATTGTGTCCAGCAATGGAAAAACCACTGGAGAATAGCTGGGCTTAGGATCTTTAGTTGGGCTCCTGATATCCAACATTCCCCTAGATAAACACCACTTTCACATTGGTGCTGTGATGCTGGTGTCACCTGTCCCTTGCTTCCTTCCTTGGCTATGGTTTCAGTCTTTGTCAGAGGAAATGTTCTTCTACCCATTCTCTGTTTATTCTGTAGCTGAGTGATCATATCCATTCCCTTGGCTTCAACTTCCATTGTGAATACATGACTACAAAACCTGCATTTCAAACCCACTTGTCTCTCTCAAGTGCCACATGGGAATTTCCTGTCCATAATTTCTAATTGGATATTCCACAGATACAAAAAACTCAACATAATGTGCAAAACTGAAGCCTACTTAGCACCTCATGCCATGAGAGAATAAACAGAACTACACTCTCCCTCCTGCCATACAAAATTATAAAGCTAGATGAAATATACAAGGATCTGCATACATGCTTTCAGGCCTTGCACACAAAGCTGCTCAGGACTATAATTTCTAAAAGAAAGACAACCTAGACTCTGAGAGTACCATGGTCACCCTAGCTTTCATCATCGCAGGGCACTTTCTTACTGTGGTGCAGGGAGATGAGTGGGAGACTCACTGAGCAGGCACATTGAGTTCTGTGCTGTGGATGAACCTGACATTTATGAGGTAAGGTACCAGAAATGAATAGCATGACAACAGCACCAGGGTGGACAGGTTATACACGTGCAGGGTAAGACTATCAGCCCAAGTAGAGATCATTCATATGGAGCTGAGAATCAGAAAGTGTTAAGTACAGACCAAGAAGACAATGAATTCCAGCCCAACAACATGGAAAGCTCATGCAGACACTCAGAAGAATAGACCTTATCCCAGTTCAAACTGGAATAAATGCAAGCCTAACAATATCAAAAGGTTCTGCCTTGTGGTAAAAGGCTCTGCTTGACACAGTGAAATTTAAGACTCTTTAAAAAAGAAAAGAAGGACTTCTGGGAAGATGGCAGAGTGATAAACAGCAGAGAAAGAGCCTCTCTGAGACTTACTGTCCAGATACTAATATATTTGTGGACAAGAAGGAGGGAAGTGGGTCCTCTGGACCCAGGAAGGATCTGAAGTGAGGATTAAAGCCATTGGCAGAGCAAAGAGAGACATTTCAATGAAGGAGGCAGTGGGTAGAGCATTCTCCCAGTCAGGACTCTTCATGGGAAGAGCAGTCCAAACCTGTGGACGCATGGTGACTGCTGGCAACCCCAGGGCCTCCACAGAGAAACATAGTAGTGGAAGGGACCAGTGAATATGGAAGATCATACTGGCTGGTGGTGAATGCTACAGGATAGGACATCCCACAGGAGAGGGTGACTGACCCCTGAGTGGGAGCCACCTTGGAGAAGGATCAAAAACAGCTGCTCCATCTCGCAGCTCACAAATGAGTTGAAGCTTTACAGGTGTGCTGGGTCTGGTTCCAGCCTCATGGCCAGAAACTAGCCTGAACTTCAGGAAAACTAAAAGTGCAGGTTCACTGAGTTTATCCACTACCCACCATAAGGTGACTACTGGCTTACTAGGGTAAATCAACATGGATCTGGACTCTGTCTCCACACACTGTCTACCAGTAACAGAAGAGACCTGTGGGACCACCCACCCACCCATCAGATCCTCTTTCCAGCCAGCACCCAGGCGAGGCACGTGTGTGAAACTTCCTCCATCAAACAGGCCTGATATAGAACCCTGTGGCAGAACTCCCTGCAGAGAGGCTACAGGCAAGACCCACCCAGCTGATCTAGGAGCAGAACATCTTGCCAGAGTGGCACAGCAGGTTCACTTCCAATGGATGCAGCAGGAAGAAGTGAAGCACAGCAGCCAGAGCCAAGCCACACCCACTGGACAAGTTTGAACTTAGTAGATCTGAACCTGGTGCTAAGGTAATAACTGCACCAAAGCTCTACACCAAAGGTCAGAAGACAGCGCTATATAAAATGACAAATATAAGGAGCAAAATGCATTCTCAGGCCCTGAGTCCACCCAGAACAAATGCAGGAGACAACAGTATAGAAGAAATTGGAAAGCACATACCTGAAATCTCTGAAATAATAGCATCTGAAGAAACAACTGCAGAAAGGTATAGAGGAAATCAGATCAGAAATAATTTCTGAAGTAAAAAATAAATGATAACTATAATGAAAGAATTACTAAGTGCTTCTAAAGAAGATACTGATAAAAAATAGAGAATATAAAAATGATGGAATCCTTGCATGAGCAATATAGAAAAGAAATAGAATGCATGAAGCTGATTCAAAGTGATATACAGGAAATTAAAACCTCAATCACAAGATGGCAAAACCATTTGAATGAAAGTGAAAAT